CTGGTCTAACACTCGATCTGTTTTGCCACCAACAGTTCTAAGCACTTTACATATATGAGGGTGACCCTCCAAAAAAGAATTGTCTTCTGGAGGGTGGGCCCCTTGTAGTACAGGTTTCTCCTGCCAGGTGAACATTCTTACTGTATCAGTGTACTAGCAATTTTTACACACAATTTTTACACATACAAAAAATACACAATTTTTAAATAAATAAATTCTGGGTTTTTTGGGTCTCCCTCATTTTACTCTTAATTCTCACAACTCTTTGAGTTACTCTATTGTAACTCCCATTTTACAAGTGAGAAACAGAGGCACAGAGCTTGCCCAAGGTAACATGATTAGTAGGAGGCAGATTGGGGTATGAACCAGGCAATATGGCTCTGGAAGTCATGCTTTTAATCACCAAGATATACGGCTTCCACTGGACTAGAATCTTCTCCAGATTATGTACTGTATTTGTCTGTATTCACAGTTCCTTACCTCAGTGAAGGGCATAGAAGTTTAGAGAAAAAAAGATGAATTTAATTTTTTTATCTTAATTGCCTCCTATATGCTAGTCACAATTCTAGTCATGGGGTTACAAAGAAAAAGAGACAGCCTCAACTGTAAGAAGCTCCCCACGGTCTAGCAGGAGAAGCAGCAGGGTCAGCAAGTGTGCTATGGGAGATATAACAGGAACATTCTCAGTGCACAGTGAGGAGAGGCACCGAGCCTGAAACCAGGGTGCCTCAGGCTAGGATTCCTAATTTGAGACCTGGGACTAAGCTCATTCCCTGAGTTAGACCAAAAGTCTTAGGAGCCCACAGGTCTGGAGTTAACTAAAGGTCTAGGTATGAAATTAAAAAAGCAGCAGCAATTTTTCACCCTTCTTTTCCCTAGACAATGACTGGTTGTTGCCCTTAGATTCTCTTGTGCCTAATTAGGTGAAGAAGCTAACTAAGCTATGGTCAAACTTTACTGGAATTGTGAGTTTTATGAAATTATGCAGGCATGAAAGGTAAATCAATGCTCACTTTCAGGCTTGAATCTATTCAACAACTGTCCAAGTCTATGGACAATGAAAGCTACTAGAAGCTGAGCACTTAGACTATAATTCGGTTTATTTCTATATTCTGTCAAGTAGAGAACCCAGAAATAGACCCCCTTAAATACAGTCAGCTGGTCTTTGACCAAGGAGCTAAGGCAATATAATGGAGAAATGATAATCTGCAACAAATGTTGCTGGAACAAATGGACATCAACCTGCAAAAAAATTAGCCTAGCCCTGGCTGGTGTGGCTTAGTGGACTGAGTGCTGGCCTGCACACCAAAAGGTTGCTGGTTCGATTCTCAGTCAGTATACATGGCTGGGTTGCAGGCCAGGTCCCCAGTAGGGAGTACACGAGAAGCAACCACACAATGATGTTTCTTTCCCTCTCTTTCTCCCTCCCTTCCCCTCTCTCTAAAAATAAATAAATAAATAAAATCTTATGAAAAGCTAATCTAGACACAGACCTTACACCCTTCACAAAAAATGAACTGAAATGAATGATAGAGGTAAATGTAAAGAATAAAACTATAAAACTCCTGGGAGATAACATAGGAGAAAACCTAGAGGACCCTGGACATGATGATGACTTTTAAGATACAACACCAAAGACCTAATTCATGCAATAAATAATTAATAAACTGGACTTCATTAAAATTAAAAACTTCTGCTCTGCAAAAGAAAATATCAAGAGAATTAGAAGTCAAGCCACAGATGTCATAGAAAATATTTTCAAAAGACACATCTGATCAAGGACCATTATCCAGAATATTCAAAGGGCTCTTAAAACTCAACAGTAAGAAAATGAACAACTGGGTTGAAAAATGGGCCAAAGACCTTAACAGACAGCTCACCAAAGGAGGTATACATATGGAAAATAAGTTTATGAAAAGGTATTCCACATCATATATCATCAGAAAAAGGCAAATTAAAAAAAAAAATGAGATACCATTACACACCTATTAGAATGGCCAAAATCTGGAACATGGAAAACAACGAGTATTGGCAAGGATGTGGAGCAACAGGAACTCTCATACCTTGTTGGTGAGTATGCAAAATGGAACAGCCTCTTTGAAAGACAGTTTAGCAGTTTCTTATACTAAATGTACTCTAAAAATCCAACAATTATGCTCCTTGGTATTTACCCAAAGGAACTGAAGTTTTATGCTCACACAAGAACCTGCACACAGATGTTCATAGCAGCTTTATTCATAATTTCCAAAACTTGGAAGCAACCAAGATGTCCTTTAGTAGGTGGATAAATGGATAAATAAACTGTGGTACATCCAGACAATAGAATATTATTCAGAGCTAAAAAGAAATGAACTATCATGCCATGAAAAGACATGGAGGAAAATTAAATGCATATTACTAAGTGAAAGTTAGTCTGGAAAGGCTATATACTGTATAAGACCAATTTTATGACATTCTGAAAAAGGCAAAACTATGGAGACGGTAAAAAGATCAGTGGTTGTGGGGTGGGGTTAGTGGGAGGGAAGCACAAATAGGCAGAGCACAGTGGATATTTAGGGCAGTGGAAAATATTCACTATGATACTATGATGATGAACATATGTCGTTATACTTTTATCCAAGCCTGTATAGAATGTACAACACCAAAAATAAACTCTAAGGTAAACTATGGACTTTGGGTGATTCACTATGTCTCAATGTTAGTTGGTAAAAAAAAAAAGTACTTTTGGATGAGTGATATTAGTAATGAGGGAGTCTATGTATGTGTGGGGACATGTGATATATGAGAAACCTCTGTACCATCTTCTCAATTTTTGTTGTAAACCTAAAACTGCTGTAAAAAAAATAAAGCATTTTTTTTTAGTTCAAACAGATGAAAACCAGAGTCTTGGACAGTGCAGATCAACTTTTCTCACTCACCTGAGTGAGATGTCAAGGTAGCCAGGATTGCTGCAGAAAAGGGTCAGCTCTCGCACCCATGAGTATACAAGAGATAGTACACATATGCCTGTGCATGTATGCATATACATATGCACAGATGGGCTCACAGGTAGCAGAGTAATCCCTTTAAGTACTTAAATTACTACAGAGGCTCCTCTTGTTGTCTTTTTTATATATCAAGCACTTTTCAACAAGCCTTCTCCTACTTCATGACATGAAATATTAGTCTTAACATAAGCCCCATTCGAGCATCAAGAAGAGCTAACTCTTAACATTTATGTATAGATTTTCCGCATGAATGTTATTTGTAACAAATGTCTAGTCCCAATTTTAGTTTTCCCCTTTCAACCATTATATTTTTGACCTCCCTTTTCCGCAGGTCAATGCTTACCTCAATGGTAACTATTTACATTTTTATTAACCTAAGAAAAACCATGAGTATAGCTTTCTTGCCCCTTCAGCGCCTCATCAAAGTCTCAGTACATTCCAAAGCCAAATATAAACAGGATTATTAAATTATTATTTGTCTTAAGTATCTATTGCTTTCTGTTGTGAATTATGAACAATTGACCTTCAGGATATCTGAGATATGACCTATTAGCCTCAACTTAAGTCTTCAAATGACTTGACCTTAAATAGTTACTATTCTTTCACTTACAAAATGAGGAAACCAATCTCTTACCTTCTCTGCCTTCAAGGCAGTTCTGTCAAAAACAAAACAAAACAAACTTTGAGATCTTTACAGCCCTGCATTAATGTATGTCAGTTTTAGCATTAGTTTGGGGAGTAATACACTTACTTTGAAATATTTTCACCATCCTACTTTATCATATGCACTCACATCACCCCACAACAAAAGACACAGAACAATTATCTAAATCTCTTCTTATCAATAGTCAAATAATTTATATTATCACTATACAAATTTATTTAGGAACAGTGAGATTCCTTTGAATCTCAACATTTCCTTGGATATGCAGGGTTTTTTTTTTTTTTAAAGTAACCATTTCTAGAATGGCTTCATGTTACATTTCAGCACACTGGCCCACAAAGGAGACTTAAAATAACATTTCCAGGAAGTTAACAAGGATTCCTAGCCCATGTAGGAACTCTTGTGGGAGCTAGCATAGTATTTCACACTTTGGTATTTTTCATTTCTCTTCTTTTTTTAAAGAAGATAAAATATTACAGACATGTTCAAAATTCACACCTGAGTGAAACATTTTGCTGGAAAATTCCACATTAAGGAGAGAAGAACAAAATGCAAAAACAGGAAAGGGCTATATACAGGTATTTTTGCCAGCATAATTGTTGCATATTTGCTTTTGTGTTCTTCTATAGCCAGGAGAAGGGAGAGAGAATAAGATAAGGAAGAGCAGGGATGGTGAGAAGGTACAAATGTTCCTGAACTCTGTGACAGGTATAACAGACAGAAGAGCATCTGTAGGTAGAGAAATATGCCCAGGGGACTGAGGGATTCCACCTTCTGTAAAGAGGAGGGAACTTGGAGAACAAAATCATGACTGGAGTTGGTTCTAGAAAAGGGGGCAGGGCTAAAGAGAAAATTGGGTGAAAGAAGGTTCAGTCAGAAAACTTTGCTGAACAGAGAAAACATCAAGGCTTTGGTAGAGACATCAGATTCAAATCTTTTCACAGATTTTAGAAGTAGTTCAAAGATTGTGGCTAAATTCAGAGTTAAAACCATTACCTCCCCTTCTGGTAGTTTGGCACACCAGGCAAATGGCTGTCCCCAGAATGAGATGGAGAATAACAGCAAGATGTCCTTTCTCTGAAATACCACAGCCACAGTGATGCTGTCCGAAATATTTAGAACTAGAGGATGGAGGGGGACACAGGCAAGGAAGGTCAACTGCTAGCATTGGTATATATTTCAAGAATACTAGAAGTCAACACATGGTTCAATCACAGTTTAAATCTCCAGAGGCCCTTGCTTATTAAGAAGGCAAGAGTTTAGGTTCAGTGATAGTGGGATTCTCCTCTGCTCTTCTGAGAGTAATCTGTTCATACAGAGAAGGCATGACTCTCTTCCTTCCAATGGGGAATACAGGGCCAGGTGGAATAGGAGAAACTTTCTGGTCTCAGTGGAGGTACGTGGGATGATTCCATCGGTACCAAGATCTGGAAGGGAGAAAGAAACAAATCAATTGTAAAGCTGCTAATGTGATAAGGAAAGATGGGAATGGATAGTGACTTCTAATAGGTATAAGGTTTCTTTCTGGGATGGTAAAAATGTTCTGGAATTAGATAATAGTGACAATTGTGTGGTCTTGGGAATATAATAAAGACTACTGAATTGTATACTTTAAAATGATAAATTTTATGGTATATGAATTATATCTCAAAACAATTTTTAAAATGCACATTACGTGGCTTTCTATCTTTCTTTTTGGTGGAGATAGCTGAGGAGCTCCAACTTTTGGGTCCCTAAAACAATTGGCCAATGAGAGCTGGCTGCCTTGCTGAACTACCTGGGTTTAGACAAGTAGATTCATCTCTTCTGACAAGCTTATGTCTTTAATCTATCACTTAACTTTCAAATCTCTCTTTTGTTCTGAATCAGGGAAGAATCTCTCAAGGCATCAGCTATGAAAATACTTTTTAGAGTAGATTCTTTGACCCAAGAGGCTGCTTTTCCCCAACCGCGTCCTAACTTCCCACACTCACTGTCTCAGCCATGCTTGAAGCTCAAGTCCACATTACAGCACCCCCAGAACAGGGTTACTGGCATTAAGTGGAGAACTCCTAATACCAGTGAAGGGCTTGGCCCTTCCTGACAGGAACGTTTGGAAATTTCCACCTTCCCAGTGAGGATGGACATTTTGGCTTTGTTGACATGAGCTCCTTGCCAGGAATGTTCACTGGCTAAAGCTTCTCTTTTATATCCAACTCCTTAGGGATAAAGCCTAGTTTGGCCCTCCGCTCTGTCCCCTCCCTGCCATCCCATTCCCTTTTTCCAACCCAGTGACAGCTTTCTTTCCCAAGGTTTTGACCCAGCTTTTCACATGTCCCTTGGCCCTGCTGGAATGTTGCTGTTCTCTCCCCTCCCATCTTACCCTGAGGAGTTAAAAGTGGAGGAGTTCACTGCTGCTTTGGAGTTATTTTGAGATGCAGTGGGGCTGCTTGCATGAAGTCCTGAGCTAGGCGATGAAGGCCTGCTGTTGTTCCCAGGGGAACAGGGTGATGTTACTGAGGATAAGGAGAGGCAAAAACAAGGGGAAAGGAATGTGACTGGGTCCTGCTTGGACCTTGTGGCATGGTCCTTCAAAACATGTATCCCTAAAGGGATCTCACCCTCTCCCTACCCCCACTTATCTGTCCAGCTCCTGCCATATTAACATCAGCACCCAGCTCTAGAGAGTTTTTCATCATGAATGCTCTCCTCAAACCAGGCCCTGAAGAGTTACACGTCTGGTTCTACAAGTCTTAGACTTGTCTAACAGAAGAAAGGCAGGTGCCAAAATCATCCTATTGCATGACACACCCTGGGTTGGGCATATGCAGCCCCATGTCAAGAAGCAGGATGGGAAGAAGAGCAAGAAACCTCAGGATGGAAGGGTATAGGAAAGATAGAAAAGTACGTAAGGGAGGAAAAGAGAGCCGGAAAGCACAATTAAAGATTGCTGGCCTCTCTAGTGTTCTCATCTCCATAAACCAAAGGTACATGGTCTACTAGAAAGAGCACAAGGAATGAGGTGACCCAAGTCTAGGTCCCAGACTCAGCAGTTCTGTGGCCTTTGGCAACAGGCTTCACTTCCCTGAAACTCACTTTTGTCCTCTATAAAATGGCAGATTTAGATTAAACTGAACTCTTGTATTTGAGTTTTCCAAACAACATTATATTGATAAAGTGACATTTATTTTACCATCCAAAGTAAGATATTTTGAAGAGAGGAAAGGAGTGCTATTGATAATTATGTCAGGACAAGAGGCATAGGATTATCCTGGGCACATCCCGACATATGGTCACCCTATTTATCTGTTTGAAATGCTATAGGTATTTTTTGAACAGTAGAGTTCTGTAGAAAATTGGTTTGGAAAACCCTCCCTTGTGTTAGCCTTTCATACAGCTTCTTTAGAAATGTATAATGTACTTGAGTGCTGAGAAGTGCTGTAGTCAAAACAAAACAAAAAATAAATACTTATTTAAACTTTGCTTACTCAGTACTTTCTAAACTTACTTGATCATGGAACCATTTTCTCCAAAACAGACTTAAATACCTTTTGAAATACAGTTAGGGACATAGGTAGGTTCTTCTCAGTTCTAATATCCCATTATTTAAAGGAATTCTGGTATAATTCAGAAACTTCATTTTAAAGCTCACCTGTTCCAGGCATGGCGCTATGGACAGGAGGTATGGAGAGGGGGCCCAGAGACCCAGAGGGAGAGACCTGAAAGGCAACAGAAGCTTGTAAATGTCCATTTCACTCCATTCTCCAACCTTTGATGCTTCTCCCAGTATGCTGGGTCCCAGACTCTGTAGAGGCAAGGTCTTAGTTTCCTTGACAATTTCCTAGTCCAAACCTACATCCTGTCCCACTTCATAGATAGTCCTCTGGACCATGTACAACATCCAGCTCCAGCTCTATCCTGCTCCCACGGCTCTCTGCTGCTAACACCCAGCCCTGCCCACCCTGCTGTGTATCCCTTGGCAAGGTTTCTTTGGAACTGCCTGGTCAAAGCTGTGCTTCAGCGCTCTAGCAGTGAAAGGAGCATACCTCCTTAGACTCTGCTGTGGCAGACACTGTTTTTCAGTCTTTATTTCTTCCTTGGTAAAAGAGTTTTATTTTTGCTCAGGCACCAGAGCACTGGTCCTAAAAACCATGTCTCAGGCTTCCTAGCCTCATGCATGAATGGACCATCAGCTCTCCGGAGATAACTGGAGGAGCTGAAGTTTGGTTTCTGAAGTTTTTATTTTGCCCTGGAGAGCCCACAGCATCATCAACTCTGAGATTTGGAAGGGACCTGAGATTAATTTAGTTTAACTTCCAAAAAAGTTCAGGAATCTCTCCCTCAGTATTACTATCCTAGAACCTAGAAAAAGATGAAATATAAAGAATGGACTTTGGAGCCCAACAAATCTGGGTAACCTGGCTCTACCACCAACTATATGTGTGGCTTTGGGCAAGATACCTAACCCTACTGGGATCTGGTTTTCTCATCTGTAAAATAGTACTAATACTTCCCTTATAGTTTCTTCTAATTAAGATTTAATAATATAATGTTCATAGAGCTTCCAACACAATACCTGGCAAAGAGTGCCAGACTTCTCAAATATTAGTCCTCTTCCTTCCTGAAAGAAGCTGTTAGCTGGTGTGTCTCTAGAACCTGTTCTTATTTTCATTTGAACTGAGATCTTCATGCATTCTCTCCCCTCAATCTTCTCATATTGACAAGAGAAGCTATGACGGATTCATTTATTATCCTCACCCAAAGATATGTTTTCCCCAGTATATTGTTTTCTTTTTCAAGTTGATTTTTTTAGAGAGAGTAAGGGTGGGGGAGAGAGCGAGAGAGAGAAAGAGAGAGAGAGAGCAATGTGAGAGAAACACATCAATTGTTTGCCTCTCACGCACACCCTGACCAGGGATGGAGCCTGAAACCCATATGTGCACTGACCACCAGAATCAATTAATGCTTTTTTTTTAAAAGACATTGAGAGTAAGTTCTGCTCAGGGAGTTGTGATTTGATATTCCTTACCTCTCATATTTGTAACATCCCATCCCAGCAGGGTACAACATATATTTACTTCCTGTGTTAACATGGTAAGAGATGTTATCAAGAATCTCCCTTTTCTTCTCCTCCACTTCCTGCTGCCACATCCAAGAAATTTGTTGTTTTTAAATAAATAATGTATTTAGTCACTGTGACTAGCTTCTAAGAGGTTTCCTTCTGGAGACAGGTTATGCATATGCAACCAGACATATATGTAGTTTCCTCTTTTTAATTTTTTACATTAATGGTAGTATTCTGCCCACACTGGTGTGCACCATTTGCTTTTTCTGCTGAATGGTATGCTTTGGGGATTATTTCATATCAGAAGCAGAAAAAACGATCTCCTAATCCCAAGGAGACTGAGGAAAAGATAGGGTCAGAACATTTTCTCTATCTACTTTTTTCATAACAGCAAAAGTATTAATTATTTGTATAATGTCTCTGCCTCCCCACTAGGCTGTGGACTTCCTGAGGGCAGTATGATGCCAGTGTGGTTCACTGTTACACCCTCAGTGTCTACTACAGTGCCTGGAATTTTGCAGGTGCCCAGCAAATATGTGTTGAATAAGTGATGAGAATGAGTCAGGCTCCTTTACAGCTCCTTCATACCTTCACTGTTTTTCTTCATGCTGGTGTCCTTAATTGGGATTGAACCAAAGCAAAAACCTATCTCCCAACTGCTGCTGTAAACACAGCACCATATCTAAAAATTCCAATGTTCCTGTGATATGGTCCAATTTCCTTCTCAAGGCCTCCAACACCCTACAAAATCTCTACCTACCACTACAGTGTCCTTACTCATACTCTCTCTCTCACTCCCTGGGTTCCAGCCCATTCAAGCCTTCTATGCTTCCTCTCCCCACCATCCCAGCCTCAGGGCCTTTGTGCACACAGTTTCCTCTGCCTAGGATGTTTTTCCCTATTCTCTCTCCTCCCTCTCCTCCTAACTCAGACCGTTTCCCCATTAACGTCCACTTATTCTTCTGCTGTCAGTTTGAGCATCATTCCTCAGAGAAGCTCTGACACCCTAGACAAAGTTTGGTCCCTAAAATACCCATACATCTTCTCTGAAGGCTTCAGCACAAATAGCATTTGTTTATGTCTGTTTTCCCTGTTGGACTGTAAGCAGGGATCACAGGTGTCCTGTGTTCTACTGTATCCCAGTGCCAATCATATGGTGGGTGCTCAAGAAATATTTAAGAAAGGAATAATGAATGAATATCGCATTGCCTCCAACTGAAGATTTTAATGGATTGGTATTGTTTTTAGAGTATTTTGGTATCAAAACCCATCATGATCTGGATCTCATCAATCCCTTGGTCTTTTTTCCAAACCCAGCTCCAGCCAGATGGAATTGCTGTGATCCTCCAAAAGCATCATGTTGTTTTAGAATTCCATGCTTCCTCACAGACCATTCCTTCTGCCCTCAGTACTAATTTTTATGCTAACTTCTAATGTGTTCTTCAAATAAAATAGAGCCTCAGCCCTTTCAGACCCAATTTAGATTTTTCATCTGTGTTCCTGTAGCACTCCTATAAAGCTCCTCACACCTACTTACCCCTTACATCTATTTCATTGCAATTTCTTGCCTTTTCTGCTTCTCTTTCTCAGTTTCTTCCCCTGATCCTCTTCTTTTGCCAGTCCCTCAAATGCTAATGTTCTACAGGGTTGAGACCTGGACTATCCTTTTTGCCTCCTCTGTATAGACTCCACAGGTGAGCTCCCCTTTCTCAGTATTTCAACCACCATATGTGTATTTATGGCTCCCTGATCCATATCTCTATCCCAGCCTTCTCTCCTGTCCTCCAGACCTATAATCCTAAGTGACCATGGACATTGCCACTTGGGTGTCCCACAGGCCTCAATGAACATCATAATAATGGAAATAACTGAAATTGTCATATTTTCCAGTTACCAAACTAGCTCCTCCCCTGTGTTTACTTGCTTCATCCATGGTGTCATCATTTACCCAGTCAGACTGGCCTGAATTCTGAGAGTCATCTCTGAGTGTTTGCTTTCCTTCATTGCTCTCCATGTCACCACCCAATTTTCAGTTTATTAGCCAACATCCAATAATTCTACCTTCGAATTATGTCCTGAATCTTTCCTATCTCCCTCATTCTTACCACTTGGTTTTGCAGCAGCCCTCAGTTCTCTACCGGATAATTGCAATCAAGTACTAACTGTTCTCCCAGGCTGCCAAACCACCTTATTTATACTGAAGTCAGAATGATCCTTCTAAAAAGCAAATATGACCATGCCAGTGCCTGTTTAAAATTTTTTCAATGATTGCTTCAAGCCTTGACTTTTATTGCATTGCCCACAGTCCCTTCAGTCTGGCCTTTGCTCATCTATACATCCTCATCTCTCAACATTCCTCCACATGGAACCACCTGCAATTCTGTGAATATTTCTTGATCTATACCACTGTTCTCATACTCCCCCCGCCCCATGAAAACTCCACCTCCCCACGTATTTGTCTCTTCACTCTTTTTGCCTTTTACATTTATCCGATGTATTATTTATGTCCTTGGGGAAGACTTTCTAACCATTACCTCCCAACGCTTTGTTAGCTGTGACTACTAAGTTCTCCAAAAGAAATTAGCATATTGTTTATCATTTGTTTATTTGATTATCTCCCTTGCTAGACAATGAGGTCCTCTAGGACAGGAGATAAAGAGTATTTAATTATGTATCCCAGGACTCTGCACAAAAACCAATATGTAGTAGAGTCAATAAATGTTTGGTGAAAAAATGAACAATGGCGTAGTTTTTTGAAACAGCTGTGTCTCACCCTGGGCAAGGCTGAATTTTGTGTATCCTTAGTGCTAAAAGACTCAAGGACATTACCGTTATCCTCAATTCCCTTAACCTTCAACCATCCCCATCCCCAGGGGTAGAGAAGAATGTTCTTACACCCATGCTCTGGGCACCATCTCTCTCCTGGATAGAGAAGATATTTTCTATACTCCAGGTCTGCTTGAAGTTCAAATTATTCCCAGCCCTGAGCTCTTCTCTGACCACCAGAATTATAGATATATCTGTCTGCTTGACACTTCCTCTTGGATGTCTAGAAATCATGTCCAACTTAATATGACAACACTAAGTTCTTAGTTTTTTCTTTCAAACCTGTTCCTACTGAGTCTTCATCATCTCAAAAAAAAAAAAAAAAATGTCAGCATCTTCCAACCAATTGCTAAGGCCAAAACCCTTGGTGTCATTTTTACCTCATTTCTCATACTCCACATCTGAGCTGTAGGCACATCTTGTTGGTGTATATTCAGAATCCAACCACTTATCCTCACCACCATGGCTACCACCCTAGCCCAAGCCTCTACCACTGTAGCCTGATTACTGTAATTCTTCTAGCCAGTATCCTGTTTCCACACAGATCATTTTCGGCACAACACCTCGTGTCAGCCAGCTCAGGCTTCTCTGCTCAGAGCCTTCCAGTGGCTTATTTCATACACACTAAAAACCAGGGTTCTTTTCAGTGGCTTCCAAGTTCTAATTCCTGTTATTTCTTTCACTTTATCTCCTACTCCTGGCCTTCTTCCCTGCTGTCTCCAGCTACACTGGCATTCTTGCTGTTCCTCTAACATGCCAGGTAGTCTCATTTACCGGTCCCTCTGGCTGGAAAACTCTTTCTTTGAGATATTTCTCTTTCAATACTTAGGTCTCTGCTCAAATGTCACCTTATCAGAGAAGTTCCTTCTGACCTATTAAAAAACATCTTCCCACTATAACTTTCTATCTCCTTACCCTTCCCTCTTCTTTATATTAGATATTTAATATATAGCACTTATCTGCTGATTTATTTACTTCACATACCCATCAACCCCAACCCTCACCTTCCCCAGGATGGAGAAGACCTTTTGCCCTCCAGGCATCATCTCCCCCAGCACTTGGCAGGCAGTTTGTTTCCTGGCCACTCACCAGGCGGGAAGTATAGATGGGTGATTTAATGGATGTGGCAACAGGACAGTTGATTCGCTTCTCCTTTTGGCGTCGGTTGCAGAACCAGACCCTTACCACCTCCTTCTCCATGGACAACTGCTCTGCGATCATGGATATCTCCTCTGAGCTAGGTTTGGGGTTCTACAGAGACAGAAGTGAGAGAGGGTGGTTAGGATAAGAATGGAATAGGATCAAGAATTAGGAGTGAGGGATAGATGTTCCAAGGAAGCGGTGTAGAAAACAGGTGGATCAAAAGCTTCAGAATCAGACCTACTGATTATCACCAGTTTATCACTTACTGTATGTCCTTAAGAAATTTTCTTAACCTCTCTGAGCCTTGGTCTTTTCATTAAGAAATGGGAATAACGATGCCTACCATAAAAGATTATTGTAAGGATTAAGTGAGAAAATGTATGTAAACTTTCAAACCCAGGGCCTGACACAGGTTCTCTTCTCTTACTCCTTCCTTCAGGAGAAGTTCTGAAAAGAAGAGTGCATTGGTGAGTTATATGGGGGCAAGAAGAATCCCCAGAACCCATACTCTCCTCTGTGTTCTTTCCTTATAATCTGGTATATTTCTCATGTGGCATTGCCTCCTGTCCTACCTCAAAATAGGAAATGATAAAGCTAAAATATGTGAATCCATCAAGACTGTGGAAATATTTATCACTCTCTTGTTCTGACCCCTTCCACACCCACCCAATCCTTTATCTCAGCCCCCTTTCCTCCCTCCTATACCTTCCCTCATTCTTCTTGCTCTGAGAAACCTAACCAGAAGGAAAAGCCAGCTCTTGTCATGCTGCCAGCAGGATGCAGCCATCAAATCCTTGACCCAGATGCACTGCAGAGTCTGCTGGAGAGGCAGCAGTCCTGGAGGCCTGGGGCCTGCAAAGTTGAAGTAGGCCACATGTACTTTCTTTAGGGACCTGTGTGGTAGAGTTGCAGGCTCTGGAGGTTGGTATGTAAGGGGCCCCTGATTAGAAACTGTTCAGACCATAACTGTTTTTCCCTCTTCTCTCCCCCAGCTTCTATGGGGGCACATAGTTAATACTATTAGCTTCCACATAATAGGCTTAAGAATATACTTTTGCTACAGGTTAAAAAAGTATTACATAATATGATTAGAAGTATTTATATGTACATGGAAAAGAAACAGAAGGAAATACATTTAGATGGCATTTCATGATGACCATTTTCTTTCTACATCCCTGTATTTTCCTAATTGTTTACAATAAGTATTTATTACATTGGTAACTTGAAAAATACAAAACAATGCCTAAGAAATTAAAGAATTTATATACAATACTCTGGCTGTGCTCCCTTTTCTTTAACTGGGTATAGAGCTACACTCTCTTCTGGGATGTTGTATTCTATTCTTTAAATCTCCCAGTGAGAGGGACAGTGAGCCCTAAATAGATGTCAGGCAAGAAGGGTCAGTGGGGAAAGAAGTTCCTGGAATTTGAGATAAAGGGCAGACTTTCATTCTGTATAGGTGAGTGTCTATAGAGCAAGTGTTTCTTTGCTTTCTGACTCCTCCCCAGGGCAGGTGTACGGTGCTGAGGGGTTGGTGCCAAGGGCTTTGTATGTGCCTGCTCAACCACCTGTGCAAGTTGGCCCACTGCTCCCACCCGGAGGAGCCACTCACGTCTTGAAATCTCTTCTCCAGAGTCAGGCGAATGTTGGTCTCAATGCTGGTGCGTTTCTTCCTCTTTCTACCAAATACTTCATTGAGGGTGGGGTAGGAGCTGGGGGTGCTCACTGAAGGGTCTGATGGAGAGGATTCTGTTGGAAGGTGAAAGAGCAGAGGAAGCTCAAAGAAGGGAATGGACAGCCGATCCCGTCTTCATGTCCCTGAGATCCAGTAACTCTTCTGGGTGGGTTCTACAGTGTATCATCAGGACTAGGCCCCTCTTTTCAACCAGGGAAACCAGACAGACCAAAAATACCGCTTATCCTAATTGCTCCAGGCAAAGTGCCTTCATGACTCCCACAGCAATTGCCTCCAGTGTTTTTGCAGCCATGGTTTAGGGACATGCAGACATCATCAGCATGTGTGGGTGTGAGTGAGTACAGGTAGAGCTTCTGCAAGTAACACTCCTGAGTCTGTCTTTTATAATAGGGGTCCCCAACCTCTGGGCCAGGGACTGGCACTGGTCAGGAACTATTAGAAACTGGGCGCACAGCAGTAGTTGAGCTTGAATGTAATGCACTTGAATCATCCCCAAACCATCCCCCCTCACCACTGCCATCCATGGAAAAATTGTCTTCCATGAAACGTCCCTGGTGCCAAAAAGGTTAGGGACTACTCTTTTATAAGTATGTCCAAACACCAAATACAATATAAGCTGGCACTTGGAGCTAAAAGCAATGGCACTTGGTGGTAGACTGCTGGTATTGAAGCCACTTTTTTTTTCTCCAATATAAATTTTGAGCTAAGGCTGTTTGGTTGATAGGCAAGGATATCCCTTAGGAAGGATTTAGGTGTCAGATGGGGGATCACACTAGAAATGATCTGTAAGGTCCTTTTGCAAAGATCCTAAGACCCTTTGATCACATCTCTCACTTTCATACTTCTTCCTTTTTTATTTTTTTTAATCCTCACCTGAGGTTATATTCATTGATGACAGAGAGAGAGAGAAAGAGAAAGAGAGAGAGTGAAAGAGAGAGAGAGAGAGAGAGAGAGAGAGAGATCAAACAGTTGCTTCCTATATGCATCCCCACCAGCAGGATCAAACCTGCAACCTAGGTATGTGCCCTGACCAGGAATTGAACCTGCAGCCTTTTGGTGTACAGGAAGATGATCCAACCAACTGACCCACATGGCTGGGGCTTCAATGCTTCAATAAAAACTGAAAGGGACAGTCTGTAGGAAGGAGCGTCCTTGCGCCCTCCCATATTTCCATTTGGACTGACTTCTGAGAGGGTAACATCTCTGTCTGTCCACCTCACGATTTCCACAGTAACCATTAATTCACACACATTCACCAAATAGAGCCCAGCCCAGGCACTGGCTCTGCTCCCTCCTTCATAGCTAGACCAGTGGTTCTTAGGAATTATTTTGTACCACCACAACTTCCCCAAGGGATATTTGGCAATATCTGGAGATATTTTGGGGTGTTTCAGCTGGGAGTGGGTGCTATTGGCATCTAATGGGTAGAGACCAAGGAGGCTGCTAAATAAGAGAGCTCCTCACAACAACAAATTATCTGGCTCATGATATTGATAGTGCCATAGCTGAGAAACTGTCCCTGACAATGAACTCTCCCATTCATTGTTCCAAACATTTGTCCCTTTGCTTACATTCCTGACCTGCTGGGATGCCTCCCTGGCCACCACATATGACTGAATTCTCCTGCAAACTCCCTTCCTGCTATAAGGCTTTCCTGACCAGTCTAGCTCACAGTAACCCTCTGTCCTCTGAAAACCTACTCAAGAATTAGCTAGATAAAGACTTTCTATTGTATCTACTGCCTCCTCCTCCCAATGAGGTTTTTAGGAAATCCACGTTCCTATCCACCTGACCTAGGCCTCATCCAGAATCTGAGTAAGTGTGTCTGCTCTACAAATCCAACCCTTGTCTCTAGCCAGCTGTCCTAAGATCTATGCCGGGTGGCTCTGGGTTACTGAAGGGAATAGGTGCAAGTCTTCATGGTCACAGACCCCATGCCATGTTCTCCAAAGGGCTTTATGAGTAGTAAAGCTGATATTTTCATCTCCATTTGCCTGTGTCTTATTTCTCATTTGGTTCCAGACTAAGGAGGACAAGAAAGGGGCATAACGTATTGACTGCCTAAAGCCCCAGCACAGACAGCTCACTAGCCCCTTCCCTGTAGAATTTTCTAGGGCATAATCCATTCTTGTGTCCCTGAGGCCTACCTGCATCGCTCAGCCACTTCTCCAGCAGTGGCTTGAGCTTGCACATGTTCTTGAAGCTCAGATTGAGGGCTTCAAATCGCGAGATGGTGGTCTGGCTGAAGTCATTGCCATACAGCTTTCCCATCGCCAGCCCCACGTCTCCCTTTGAGTGGGATTGAAAGGAAGTAGCTTGAGAAACAGGCTGCTTGTCTTTTCGGTCCACATTCTCCACCATCCTAGCAGCAATCACACATCCAGTGAAACTTCAAGCACCCACCCATCACCTTTCTAGGTTTTTTTCTCTCTACGATGGAGACACCAAGTGGGCCATGCCCATGAACCTAACCCCTTGTCTGGCTCTCATTTATTTTTCTTGCCTTCACCAGCAATGTTCTCAGTTTCTCTACCAACAGCAACTGTGCCCTATTTTCAGGGAACACAGGAAAACAATGGGATTGCCCCAAATGCATCAAGCCTCAGGTTGCTCTTGATACCTGTACTTGGGAAGCCTAGTTTCTACTCACTCAACCCAATTTCTTCCATCTTCTCCTACAAAACCAAACCTGTGTGAAGCCCAGCTTAATGCGCCTCTGCTTGAAGGTCTTGGCAAACTTCTCCAGCTCCTCCAGGTCACTGGGCTCATCAGCCCCTCCAGTGCTGGGTAGATGCTTAGGCAATGGGAGATGCTGGGACACTTCCAGGTGGGGTTCTAAAGAGGCTCCTGGTAGCCCAGGGCGTCCGACTGCCTAAAAGGGAACACAAGCCAAGCAGTCCACAAATAGTCAACATATCAAATGGCATTTTCTGATATTTTGAACTAATAGGCTCATTCGGAGGATGACAGATCCCTGGCTACATTGGATTCCTATTTTTGCAATGGCATGGAAGTGGAAACTGGAGTTTCTATGAAGGGATAGCAAATACCTAGAATAACTGGGGTAGAAACAGTAGGAGTGTGGGACAGGGAGGTAGCCTTCTGAGTTTTATTATATGACTCACTGACTCTGAGCAGTTATCTTCCTCCTTTCAGTTTTCCATCATAAAGGAAGGTAGCAGCGTTGTTTACAAAAATTTCAAAAAGAAGTCTCAGGACAAGGAAAAGGCTGTTTGCTTTGTTTGTTCTTTTGCCACAAAGCAAAGTTACTGAGGTGTTCAACAGGCATTAAATGAAGATAACAGAGGACATCTGAGACTCATTACATTAATAGAATTCCCATAAAATTTCATATTCTTGTGATTGCCATTTTACTTTCTATACCATCATTTTTTTATGAGAAATTTTTTTTAATCAAAAGCATTATAGTGCTATCTAAATGAACCTTGCTTATTTGTTGTTGTCAGAAGAAATTGTTTTTTTAGTTTATTTTCATAGGAAAATAGACTCTTAAACATAGAATCCATGTTGTACCCATTTGGGGTCAGGAGTGAATTGAACTCATGAAAACACTTATCATTCCAAAAATAAGGAATGAAACCCAGGCCTAGAGGCCCAGGCATTGTGTCCAGTGCAGGAGCCACTGCCCATGTGGACAATGTGGCCTAAGTTCACCCTCTTTTCTCTCCTTCCCAGTTCACTCTTTTCCTAGACTGGCATTGACTTTATTCATTTTCTCATCAAAGATATTCAGTTTACCATTCATATAAGCATCCTTATGATGAGGAAGGTAAAAGGACCTGAAAGAAGTTAAGGACTCTTTTCCCTAGTGAAGGGTCCTTTAGAATAGAATGATTTAAGACCATTATGGATTTGATCCTGTTTTGCAGGGAAGGAGTGGCACAGACCAGACCTTCAAGACAAAGCCTCAGTCTCTTCTGAAGCTTCCTTTTCATTACTTTATTTGTTCTTCCATTTGACACTTATAAATTAGATACACCAAATTGCATTGATTCAACTTCTCCAAACATTTCCTCATTGATCCCCTCCCCTTTATCCTTTGTTGTAACTGTAAGCCAGTCCCTTATTACCACTGTCCAGGATGATCTTAATAACTCTCTCTCCTGGCTCTCATGTTATAAGATGTGAGTTTACCTTGAGGAAAGCCGTCAGGAGGAAGTGGAAGAGCTTATGACTCATGGCCTCATTTCTATTAGCCACTAGATGGCACCCTCTTTCCAGATATCTTTAGCAGACTCTAGTCTTCTGTAGCCAGGGCCCTTAGTAATCCATGGAGAATTTTAGCGTAGAAAAGGGACATTAGAATCTCTGCCATCTTCTGTGCATCCAATTCTGCAAAGCCATATCATGCAGCTGTGCAGGTTTACTGTGCAGATAGGGGAGGAGTTGCAGCTACAGTACAGCTCCAACTACTCTTGCCAAGCCACATACCCTGACATGAGGCCACATCTAACCAGAGGAAGAGGTGCCTTTTAGTCTAATTGGAAAACAGTTGCTGTGTAGAACCACAGCAGCTCTCCAAATGGCCCCTGTTACAGACATCAGTCCTTCTGACCTACACATATGCCTAGTGATGTAGGCAGTCTGGAATAGGTCTTAAGCGAGGCTCAGAGGTAAGAGCCACTGGCTTTGTGGTCTTGAACATCAGGCCTATGGGACTCTGGTCTTTCCCTGGGGCTTGTGAGCATCCAGGCTGGGCTAGCCATTACCTTGGCATCCCTGGGAAGTTAGCCTGGTTTTGAGATAAGTGAGTTCTGATTGGGGATTAAGTGGAGCGCCTGCATAATGGAGCAGGCTAGCCCAGGAGCTGAGATCTCTGGTTCTCATTCTGACTCCACCAATGATAGTGGGTCAGTAATTTTCTCTGGCTATGGCTTTAGTTTTCCCAAGAGCCAACAGGGCTAATCCCCTGTTATTCCTTCTTCCCAGAGGGGTAAGAGTAGCTTTAATGGTGCTGGGGGAAAACCGATGAGCTTAACTTCATCAAAAGCTGAAGAATTCCTAGAGGAAATAGGAAAAATGTTGTTTACCTGGGATGCCAGGCCGGGTCCAGTCTGTGGGAGGAGGAGAGGGCTTTGCTGCTGTGGAAAGGGGAGAAGATTTGGCTGCAGACCTGGGTGAGAGAAGAGGGACAAAGGAACAAATGAATAAAATCCAGGCCATCTGAAAGACAGGCTCTGCAACTTTGGAACCATGATAACTCTCATCACCCCCTACTAACTAATAAAGTCTCTCAGCCCACCTCAAACCCTGTGGAGAGGACCCCACAGGTACTGCCAGGTGTTGCCACACACAGGCAGAGGCAAATAAGACATATGGATAAACAGATGTAAACAGAAGTCCCCAAACCAGTCTTTCTGCTTGCACTCCTACCTGGGGTGGTGCAAAGGCTGAGGAGGGTCAAAACAATCTGCTCTGGGAACAGATAACCAGGGTTGGAGAAATCCAAGAGGCAAAAAGATGTAGGGTGAATACTAAGAATTCAAGGGGAAGCTGAGAATTTCCCTTTTGCCTGCAGAAGTAGCCCGGCCAAATCTGCAAGTGCGTCAGAACAAGCGGATGGGGCCATACAGCTCCAAAGGGCAGTGAACCACTGCCAGAAGCTCTTGGCAGGACATTTTACACTTGGGAGGAAGGACTGAGAGAAAAGAGGACACCAGAAGCCGAGCCTCTGGAAACCTATCTGGTGGTATGGACCCTACCTGCTCAGCGCACTGCCTGAGGATTGCTTTCTCCTTCCCTCTCCCAGAACCTGTCCATGAAGGAATCTTGTCTGGTTGGTGGTTGTGACTATGAACTTCCTCTAGGAAAGGTCAGAGCCAGGTCCCCTCACTCCCACTGCAGGGAGGGGCCATCAAATTACCAAAGCAGACAATGGGGTGGGTCACCCCAATCACTCAGTGCAGAGCAGAACCTTGGGATTTCTGCTGTTCTTAAGCTGTTTTAGGTCACTGATTTACAGCATCAGCCAATGCTGACCTTTATGGTCCTTAGGCTAAAAGAAGTCAGACTTAATTTTTTCTTATTAGAATAAATGGGCACGAACCCTGGACTGAGAGTCCAGAGGCCTGAGTACTAATTGTAATCTAATATTTACTATATGTTGTGTTTTAAAGGGTACAAAGCCTTTTCACATGCATTATTTCAAGTAGCCCTCAGTAACCTTGTGAAGTAGAGTTTTACTATTTTTCCATTTTTATGGAGGAGGAAATAAAACCTCAAAGAAGTTAAAGTAAGTTTCCTAAGGACACACAGCTAGCAATTTTTGCCAATGATTTTTTTTTTACTCTAAATTTTGAACTGGGCTTGTGTTTGTTTTGGTTTTTTTTCCCCCATGTTGTATGCTGGCCTTATTGGTTATGTGCCTGGGCCAATCTCATATCACTATTTTCCAAAAAGAAACTGAATTAAGTGTTATCTTCTCTTTTCTATTCCAGGAGTATGATATACATTATTTAGCCAAAACAAATGATTAAAGGTTCAAATATGTTTTCACTTCTCATTATAGCAATAGTCTAGGATGCCTCGGACACTAAGGATAGGGATCGAAATTTAGGAGGTGCTAAAGACAGAAGGAACAGTTCCATTTTGTTTGGATTCTGGAGCTTATACTTCTTCCATCACTTTTGGATCTCTTTGGTGGAGATAAGAGAGGGGGAGGTAGTATGGTGAATGGCCAAGAGAATGGGTTTCAGACAGACTGTTCTGGAACTTTCTAGTAGGTCACCAAAGGCATAATATGATTACCTACTGCAGAAGGTTATTTTGAAAATTAAATCAGGAAAATTATTCAGCAGAGCTTGTGGCACACCATGCTCAAGAAATGTTAGCTATTGTTATAAATATTCTAATCCCTTTGTGCTTGGCCAAGTTATCTGGAAGTTAACTTCCCAGCCAAAGAAAACCTGAAAACCTGTGGGTGGCACTGCTGCTCTACCCAAATAGAATCACAGTCAAGCTTCCTGAGTGATTTCCAAGGAATTGAAACTTCTCTGTATTGCATTTCCCAAAGAGTAACTCTCTCCTTGTACTGCCCCAGTTCTGTGCCACCCTTGCATCTTCAGTCTCAGCTGGTCATGAATTTGAGAAGATGGGAAGATGAAACAGAGAAGGAGGCTCAGCCTAGAGGTGCAGTGAGAGGGTCCCTTTCTCAGGCCTTGATGTGGAAAAGCTGGTTTTAATATCATATCAGAGGGCTAAGCCACTTACTGATGTCCCAAATTTGGGCTTTCTCACCCAGTAAACATCAGCACTTTACTGTACTCGGTATATGTGGGAAACCCCAGGATTCTTACCTTGCTGCCCAGGCTGAGTCTGTGATAGCAGAAACTGAGATACAGACTGTAGGTGGCTGGGAACCAGCACAAGCTGCTGGAGGGGATGGAGGGGAGTTACATCCTGCATGTGGGAAAACACACACATTACAGATTTTACAAGCTGGGGTGCCAGCTCCAGCTGCCTGCTGCCCATGTATCCCATGGGTCTCCAGACTCTGAGAGTTTGTGGGCAGTGACCTTGCCTTATGCCTGTATGTATCACTAGTGTCTGGTGCATAGTAGCTACTCCATTAATGCTGGTATTATTACAGCTCAACCAAGCAGTGCCTTGCAACATTTTGTCACTTAAACCTTGCCTTGTTATTTAACTTTTGTATATGTCAGTCCTGTCTTGCAGCTAGACTGTAAATGCCCTGAGGGTACAGACTAAGTATTACTCTTCTCTCAGTTGTTTACCCTAAAAATGACATGCAATCCCGACTGTCCAATTTTTTAAAAATCTCATGGCATTTTATTATGATAAAAGCCATGTATTGGACATTTTCTGAGCCTGAGCCTTCCCTGGAGGAAAGCAGAAAGTTATTAGTTCTTAATAAAACCAATTTGATTAATAGAAAGTCCATTTTCCCTGTGCTTCCCCTACCAGCCCAGGAAGTAGAAATACCAGTCCAAATACTTGGGGAATCTGGGAGTCCTCTGGTGCTTGAGACCTCCAGGGCTCTGTGCCCTTACTGTGCTGAAATTAGCTCTGTACCCAAATAAAAAAAAAAACTTGGTAAACTCTTGCTGAATAAAGAAGTGAAGAAATGGATGCATATCCTAGTCTTAAATATGACCAGAGAAGCGGTATCTCTTTCTTCCCCAGGTGATCCAGATCAAGAAAGGAGTTCACCACATGAATGCCTTCTCAGACATTTGTGGGTACTGTTTGAGGATGCTTCTTTCTTCCCTGTACCAGTAGTCTGTTCTAGTTTGGCTCTGATGTAAAAAACCTGTAAGGGAAGGGGAGCACTAGGGACAGAAACACTCCATAGGCCTCCCCTGAATGTGGTTGGCAGACACTAGCCCCACAGCTGCTACGTTTGTCTTTTTTTTGGAGTTTTTATTTTGTTTTGTTTTGTTTTGCAAGATTACCTCTTTTTTCTCCCAGGGAGGTAGAAACCTCACTTTTCACATAACCAGCTAGGCTTTACCTTTAAGAGGACTTTGTAAAAAAAAAAATTTAAATTGATTTTTAAATAGAGAGAAGGAGAGAGAGAAGCATCAATCTGTTGTTCCACTTATTTATACATTCATTGGTTGATTCTTGTACGTGCCTTAACTAGGGATCAAACTCTCAAACTTGGTATATTGGGACAAAGCTCTACCCAACTGGGACTGTTTTGTAACCCCACCCCGCAACCCAGACTCCAAGCCTTCAATCTCTCCCACATTCCCTGCAGGGCGTTCTTTAGACCAATATAGATTCCCAGAGTGCCAAGTCTAGAGGTCAGGCATTTTGCAAAAGGCTTGAATTAAACTCACTGGCCCACTGAGAATGTCAGGGCTCCCTGACATGGGCTGACATTTACCCCAGACATCTGGTTTCCAGACATGATGGCAGGTCCTTGACTCAGGTGGCATGGCCTATGTGAGAGGGTCTGTTGCAGGGAGTCACTGAGGTCCTCAGTTTTAATCTGTAAGTGGAGACAGAAGGAGACTATCAGCTCTGGGCCTCCCCAGGCCAACAGAAATAGAAACTTAGAGAAGATCAAGGCAGGAGATGAGTCATAAACCCAAAGAGTAAAGAGCTAGCTCAGAGCTTACTGGGCTGCAGCTTGATTTTCCTGATTGTGTGTGCTCTTCAGACCTGGGGAGCTGGTAGGAGACAGAGGTGAGTGGCCCTCTGGAGTACCAATTTGCAAGATGGGGACTCTACTTAGACCCATCATTCCCAGATGCTATTCCAGGGGCTGTGCTGATACACAATACATTCTCTTCCTCATTGAAATGAAAAAAAAAATAATTTTAGTGCCTTAAAATTTTTATTTTGAACCTGAGATGATTATTTTTTTGTTGGGGGAGGGGATATGTTAGAATGCCTTTTATGAAATGATGGTGATCCTAAATGATATTTTTTAAACTCCCCACCTCACAAAGTATAAAATTAGCAACTCCTCAGCAATCTCCACCATGTTCTGGTTTTAATACTCTTGGTCCACAGAGTCCCAAAGCCTGGGAACCATTAATATGAAAGACCAGCTTCCTCTCCATCCCCTTTTGTTTCTCACACCTTCCTGTCCTCTGCATGAAAAGCTGCCTCTGTAGCTGGCCCCCTTTGGTGATGGTCCTTGCCTGTCTCCCTACAGGTGGGGACATGTTTCCCTCACATTCACTGCAGCAGTTGCAGCCTGAGGGGCCTGTGGTGGTTTCCAAACTTTCTACAGCTCCTACCACTCTTCAATGACAGCACCAACCACCCACTCATGGGTTTCCAGGTGTCCAAAAGCAGGACAGAAAGCACTACTTGGGCCCACTTCTGTTCCCAGCCTGAGAACAACTACTCTCTTGCAGCTTTCAGAAAGTTCATGGAAGTGGAGCAGCTAAGTAACTTTGAGTTCATATAACATGGCAAGGACAACAGGATCTGGACCACACCTTACAAAGGACATTAGAGATCCTGGCTTACACCATTTTCTTGGTCTACACTGAATCTCACTGACATCCTAGAATCTCTCCTGTCTTCATTAGTTGAACCCAAGCTAAAGGTTCACACTAACAACTATACTTATGTTTAATCCCTGTAGAAAAATGGTGCTTTGGATCACTGGAGGAAAAATTCCCTTTGGTTGCAGAGTCAGGAAGATCCTATGGAGTGAGTATTAGAGACTGAGGAGGAATGAGGTGCCTTACAGATAGTGGGAGCCCAATGCATGTTAATTAAATAAAGTCTTAAAGAGAACTCATCTCTCCATGGTCTCCAGGGGGTTACAGTAAAGATGGAGCTAGACATTTCTTCTAGTCTTATCTCTGACTCTAATTTACTATGTAATCTTGAACAAACGTTCAGCCTCTATGGAATTCAATTTCCCTATCTATTATATAATTCTGCATGATTTTTTTCTTTCAGTTCTAAAATAGAATTATAAATTCCAATTCCATATGCATTTGGCACACTTGGCTAGTCCAGGTTGCTGCAGTGTTCTTTGACAAAGCAGATCTAAAGGGCAAGAAGAAGCTCTGGTTGTGCAGAAGTTGGTAAGAGGGTGCTTCTTGCAGGGACAGTTTTTACAAATCATTCCTTTCCTTTCTTCTCATCTAAGAAGACTATTCTGGAGCTTTGAAAACATGGAAGAGGAAGGGAGAGAGAGAGGAAGTAGCACAGTGCGATCAGAGAGTGAGGCTTTCTGAAATCTTAGAAAGCATGGCCACCCAAGAATGATTTCCATCCAGCACAGCTCCAATCCCTGCCTCCAGCACCCCTCAGCTCTTTCCATCCACACTTAGCATCACAGTCTAAGAAACCCCGGTATTTTAATTCTTCCCCATAAATTGGAGTTTTCACAGTCTAAATTACAGGAAAACATTTTAAAAAGCTAGAAATAAGTGATAAACTACTTACATAAAACCACCACCAACAACAATCTTAAGGTTTGCTCTGAGAGGAGATTTTATTTATGGGAAGCCTCTTTGGCCAGCCTCCCCTCCCTGCATCTCCCTTCTTTATCTGTCATCCCAGAGGGGGCACATGGGAGGCAGGCTGGAGGAAGGGAACAAGGAGAGAATATGAAACACTGGAGCTGAAATCAGGCTAGTGGAACCACCTCAGGCAGTTTGGCCACACTCCAGCTAGAAGGCAAGTGGCAGGGTTCCTTTATAGACTCATTATGCTCAGTGGAGAGATAAGAAGGTGCAGCTATGACAGAGCTTGAAAACATGTGCTTTGCCTCCAACCTGAGCACTATCTGTTAGAATCAGTGCCAGGTTTTCCTACAACACTTACTTTCAGAAACCAGAGCCATCATAAAAGAAAAGTCACCTTTTCATCTGCTTCCTGGGTCAATTGTCCTTCAAACTCTTTTAGGGGCACTGCCCACCTCCCCATTCTGAAAATAAAGTGCCTAATCGCAAAAAAAAAAAAAAAAAAAAAAAAAAAACTCTACATGTTAGTCTGTGTGTTCTGGCAACCCTATGTGTTATTCTTCTGAGTTTTTTCTTTGCCAAACTTTTACTCTTTCATTAATCATAATTCATTACCCCACTGGGTGTGAGCTGCTGACAGTAACTCCCAAAAAGACAATCCTAAACAAACCAAAGTGAAAGACAATAAAGGGTACTTCCTTTTCTTTGACAAGTTCTAAAATCTCCTCTTTGGTTGGTGGGTCTCAGAAAGAACAGAGCTGGGATAAAAGGGAAGCAGATACATCAACAACTCTTGCTGACTTTACCACATTTCTCTGACAATTCTCTGAGATTTCAGGGGCTCAGAAACTAAGATATTCAGAAATAAAGTTCCCCTCATCAGAAAATCCCTTTTACAGCTGTCGAATGGAAAAGATTGGAACTTATCCAGGCAACTGGGTGTTGGCAGTAGATCTGGAAGATGAGATAGAGAAACTTCTGTTGGATGCCATTGACTTCTAATGTGGAAACCGGAGGCAAATTGGATGAAAACCTAATTTCCCCCATACTGTGGAAACCCAACCAAACCCACAGCCTGCCTAGAATTGTGAAGATCACCTCCAGGGTCCCTTTGGTGGTTCTTCTCACGCAAATGGAATATTTCTCCAGACTCTGCCTAAGATGAACTAATCCTTGGGGACATGGGCCAAAACAGAGAGCTCTGCGCTGTCACAGCTATTGATCATCCTGTCCATATATTAGACAAAGTCTGTTAGCTTAGAATCTTCTCCACTCACTGTACTGTGCAAAAGGTATTACTCTGAGTTTGGGCAGTGACCAGGAAGGTAAAAAGGTATCATGGGTGCTTATCTTTTCTAATCCAAGTGAACTCCCTGGCATCACCTGCTTTAGAAAACAGTGGCCTCATTCTGGAAGGAGAGAGCCCCTTTGGAGGAGATGGAAGTCCTTCCTACTTTCCTTACTTGGCTTCATCTCCCAGCCAGGTGGTGTGGGGACAAGTGTTTACATTCCCAGCTCAGAAAAGCCCAGAGAGCTCCGCAGATGGGTCTAAAAGTTCATAACAAAGTGCTGGCAAAACTCTGACAAGGGAATGGTCCTCTGACTCTCCCCAGTGCTCTTTCTGCCAGGGATGGAAGAGAATAGACCACAGGTGATGGAAAAGAGGGTGTTCTGGCCCAGACATACATTTGGACTTCCTTATTAACCATCTGTTTTGGGGTCATGCCATGGGGTATGGGGAGACTGGGGTGCTCATCCATACCCGCCTCCCCATGACATTTTCACATGGCCCTCTCTAAAGGAAAAACAGACCAACACTAATGAATATATCACTGGTGATGAAAATGATCAAAGCTGTTGTCCCAGTTGCATAACTCATTTGTGGAAAATGTTTCATAAACATTTCACAAGAAGGAGAATTTCAAAGCATGAACATCTCTCAACCTGCCTTCAATTACAGGCAAGACTTTTTTTTTCTTTCTCCCCCTTCTACATTTCTGCCTAGCAGTGAGGAACAGTTTCTGTTTTGTAACTGATTTATAAAGGGTTGGCAAACATGTTGCTCATGAAAATATCCTAAAAATATATCCCAAGTGTTTGAGTGAGGAGGCAGGTAACTCATCTCAGGTGAATAAGGCTGAAAGTCGCCCAAGAGATGTTGACTGTATTTTCATTTGGGGGACCCTCCTCTCTCCATGGCTCTTACTTATTCCCTGTGATCAAGGTTTCTGCCTCTTTAGATGCCTCTGAAAATGCCAAGGGAGCCCTGGCTGGTGTGGTTCAGTGGACTAAGTCCTGGCCTGCAAACCAAAGGGTTGCCAGTTCGATGCCCAGTCAGGGCACATGCCTAGGTTGCAGGCAAGGTCTCCAGTGGGGGGTGCTCAAGAGGCAACCACACATTAATGTTCTCTTCTCTTTCTCCCTCCCTCCCCCTCTCTCTAAAAAAAATAAAATAAAATAAAATCTTTTTTCAAAAACCACACATACACACACACACACACACACAAGAAAGTGCCCAGGGAGATGGCTTCATCCAGTCCCTGATCTCTGTTCACACCTATAGGAGACCAGCCTACACACACCTTTGCCCATGCACATTGTTATCTTCTCTTTGACAGCACCAAACTTCCAGGCAAAGGAGTAATGCAAGACAGGAGATATAGGGCCCTTTAATAAACAAATAGCTCCTTAGGAGGCTGGGGCCACTAATGACTCCTTAGGAGGTCGTGACCACGTGCAGTTGCTATCTCCTGAAAAGAAACTTTCCAAAAAAGGCATCCTTGTTTTTCCTGCTTGCACCCACTCTGGAAATGCAACAAGCTTATCAGTCATGTTATTTAATGCTTTCGCTTCAGTATGTAGGACATAGCATTGCTAGTGCTAGCACAAGTGTGAAAAAAAACACATCATTTTAAGCGCATGAAAGTTTTCTTCTCCCTTTGTCATATAAGTCCATGAATTCAAGTTTAAACACTCTGGGAAAGGGGTTGTGCCCTCACTGAGAATGCATCCTCACAAATGTCATGGTGGCCAGGACTTGAACAACTTTAACCAC